TTCTAAATTATTCGCCAAACTTTTGGAAACAAAAAAATTAACCAAACATTTGATAGCACTACAAAGTTTTAGCTGTATTATGTTACTCTTGAAAGTATTATTAGCAGAATTCCACGTTAGCATCCATGTCAGATTCCATTAAAAATATATAATTTTTTGTTAAAAATTAAAATAAAAAAATAGAAAATTAAAAGAATAGCGTCTTCAACACTCCTCTGACTCAGCAAGCCACCAACGAGTCACCCTTGAAATCCTCCACAGTCTCTCCCCTTCCCAGAACCTTCCTCACGGTCTCTCCTTCCCTAAACCCTTGAATTGATTGGACCAGCCTTGACTAATCACCCCGGAATAAGAGTGAGATCGACAATTTTCATAAAGAAATCCAAGAGATCGAGACCCACTTGATGGAAGAATATGAACCTGCTGCGGACGATCCCCAGTTCGTGGACGATTTCACTTCTTATGTAGCCTTTGTCGATGCCTCACTCCCCTGCGCCACCGTCAAAGAGACTTACTACCAAATTTATGAGAAATTGCCCACCCACGGCAACCCCGTCGCCTTTTGGTTCAGCCTTGGCATTTGTTGACACATCACCAACGGAGCTTACGACTCCATGATGCGGAATACGGCCTCGGAGTCGACAATGTCATCGATGCTCTCATCATTGATGCCACGAGGAAGCTCCCCGACCATCAAGCCATGTGAGAGGACGTTTTCTAGGCGATCCACGAGTTGTAGAGATGCAAATGAGACAAGTTGTTCACGAGCGGCTCGATATTCGATTTGGAAAAAGCTCGTTTGAGACTCGACTCGTTTACTAGTGAGTCTAGCTCAAGCTGAGCCTTGTTAAGCTTGTAAGGCTCGCAAGCCAGCTCAACTCGGTGGGTTGTTGAGCTTACTCGTGAGTTAGCTCATTTTGATATATGAACTAGTTCGATAGTATGGCAAGCAAGCCTCCTCTACTAGCAATTTAAGGGCGAATCAATTAATACTTATTAGTTGGCTTGTGGATAATTCATATATTTGTTAGATTACATATATCAACATATATAATGTTTAAGACTATGAAGGGGTAAATGCCACATTTGGTCACTGGGATTACTAAAACGTGTCATGTTTAGTCACTCGAAAAGTTTAATATCAATTTTGGTCACTCAAATTACTGAAATTGTCCACATTAAGTCACTCTTCGTTAGTCTCCGTCCAACTCCGTTAATGGAGTCTGACATACCTAACGAAATCGTCTAGTCAGCATTGTTTTGGACCGGAAATGGTCAAACCCGCTCCGCCATGTCACTAAACACGCCACGTCATATGCCCAACCCAACCCATTAATCCAACCTGACTCATGAACCAAACACAACCCTATTCTACATCTCTCCCACGCCTCCCCCACTCTCCCTCTTCCATTTCACATCACAGGCAAACCCGTCTCATTCTGTTTCAAATCTGACCCATGATTGATTGGAGACGTGACAGGGAACCGGACTTGCCTCCCACTTCTCTTAAAGCTTCCTTCTCCGCAGCGGTAATGTTCTCGTCGTTATGGAGGAATCAATTGGTTGGAAAGGAACTCTCTGAAGTAGACACTCTGCCACCATCACCCGCACGACCGATAAGGGGCTCTCCCCATCGCCTAACTTATCATCATCGTCATCCTCGTCTCCGGCGTTCTGAATCTTGAAATGGAATGTATGCTTCCTGGATCTCTAGGAACGACGGAGGGCTGGCTGTGTCTGATTTCGATCGAGAGTCTGCAGTATTTATCCCGAAATCAGAAACGAGAAAAGCCGTCAGAGATCAGAATCCTATTGTGAGAGGGAGGAAGCGAGCCGGGACGCAGTGGAGGAGGCGGCGAGTGAGAGATAAAGAAGAGTGAAAAACTCCAAATCTGAAGCCAAGCTTGTTTTGTTTTGTTTCTCTATTTGTTACCGGCAGCTGCTGCAACATTGGGGAGGGCAGGAGTGAGAGTGAAAGGCTTAAAGTTGAATGAAGTGACGACTTGGAGGGAGAGGTCGAGGGAAGAAACGATGTCGGGGACGAGAGGTTGGAGGAAAGCCAAGAGGTGTAGTTGGGCGGCGCGTTGGGTTTGAATGCGGGATTCTAGCTCCGTCCGAAGGGTTTTGATTGTCGACACTAGACTTACTTCGGTCGGGTTGGCGTTGGAGTTGGGGTTGGGGTTGCCGTCAAATTGGGACTACATTAATTGATTCCATTGGCTTGCCAGAGATAGGAGTTCAAGAAGGGGTCGAAGAAGAAGTGGCGACGGATGGAAAAGCCGCGGACGGAGGCGTATGGAGAATAGCAGTGAAGGAGAAGAGAGTCCCAGCTCCGCTTCTTTCGGAAATCTGCCCAGAGAAGGAGAAGATACGAAAAAATCAAAAGAAGAAGGGGAAACTAAACCAACAGCAGTCAAGGGGTTCAAAGAAAAAAAAAAAAATAAGGAGTTCATCACTAACGCAACCAGATGCAGTCAAGGTGATCCAAAGATCATAAAAAAAGAGAAGGGGAGTTCATCACTACCGTTCCAGCGATTAAAGGCAGAAGTCCAGCTGTCCCGTCAAAAGGGTCACATCATCTGCGGCTTTTCTCCAGGAAAATGGTCACCACTACTTTCTCCCTATGTCAGAAAAAGGAAGACAGGCACAAATGTCGAGGCAAAATCCATCGCAAGTGGATGCCAGGCTGTGAGGTGGCCCCAAAATCCGCTACTCTTATCTGCTAACACAACTCGCCGCGGCGGAGAACGAGACGAAAAAACCCCGTTGACTTCCGCCATCGTTTGACGCGCCGATAAATTTTCTGCTTTGGCACCTCGCTAAACCTCCTCTACGCGATTTGTCAGCCCCGCTCCTCTCAGCACCAACCCACCTCCGCCGCCTCCCGAATCAACGTGCGACCAAGGCGGCGCAACTGTTCTCTTTCCCCTTTCGCGGAGACTCCACCCGTCCCAGCTCTCTTAAGCTTCCCGCCGCTTCTCTGTCCATATTAGAGTGCAAGAAGAAGAAAGAGGGAGGAAGTTGGAGAAAACCTCCAATTTCATTGAACTCGACCGTCGAAACCCGCTTACCCAGTCGGCGGAGTTCCGCCGCCGCTATCGAGCAGAGGCTTGCGGCAGAGCAAAAGGGAAAGGAAAAATAAACCAAAACTAGCTACTTTTGTGCATCTAAGCTTATCTCTCTATCTATTCTCTCAACTCTCTCCACAAACATACACTGACTTGGTCGTCGGAGCTTAATCCGGGGGGCAACCCCGGCCCTTCCACAGATTTCTTCTCTCCCGACGAGATCGGACGAACGGATCGTGAGTCAACCCCACACCAACAAATATTATTGTTCGTGTCTTGAGCACGACGGTACAAACAGTTAGTAAATACTCCGTTTAATACACGTATAGGTACCCGTACGTACTTTATCCGTTTAAAACTTTCATATACGTATTATTGTGAAGCCGTTTCATTTTTCCCATTCATTTGATGGCTCCCGTACTAAACACATATTAAATTCGTATAACACGTTTATTATCCATATTTTACGAATTAAATTGTTAACTTTACTATTATTTATATATTTATTTATATTTAAAATGATTAATTTTATATATTTATGACTATTAACGTACTATTAAACGTAACTTTGGCTTAAAGACGAAATATAATACCCGTATGTATTTTTTACGTAACTTTCTCGTACCGTATTTTACTAACTATGGTTTGAAACGGAAGGGGGCGGGTTTGTCGGCGATGTGAAATGGAAGAGGGAGAAGTGGAGAGGCGTGGTAGAGATGGAGAATAGGGTCGGGTTTGGTTCATGAGTCGGGTTGGGTTAATGGGTTGGGTTGGACATATGACGTGGCAGGTTTAGTTATGTGGCGGGTCGGGTTTGACCATTTTCAGACCAAAACAACGCTGACTAGGCGATTTTGTTAGCATGTCAGCACATAACAGACTTCATTAACGGAGTTGGACGGAGACTAACAAAAAGTGACTAAATGTGGACGATTTCAGTAATTGGAGTGACCAAAATTGATATTAAACTTTTCGAGTGACTAAACATGACACGTTTTAGTAATCCCAGTGACCAAATGCGGTATTTACCCGACTATGAAGACATGGCCAAATATGTCTCCTTTATATTTTTAAAATGAAATTATATATTATAGACTGTTTAAATAGTAATTATTATCAAATAACATAATATGAAAATTTTAAATTTATGAACTAAATGATATGATACCTGAGCTAGAACCTATCTCGCGAGCTGATTGATGAGCCAAACTCAAGTATAGCTCGTGAGCTTATTAACAACCAAGCTCAAGTCAAGCTCGAGTCGACACAAGCTGAGGTTTTAGTAAACAAGTCGATCTCAAGCTGGGTCAAAACCCGACTTGACTCGGCTCATTTGTAGCCCTAAATCAAGTAGTGTCAGAGAGGGATTGAGCGATGACAGTGGTGTGTGGCTGAGGTATTTTTTCTTAATTAAAATTTGAAAATGTTGGAATTATGACCGTCAGATGTCCTCCAACTCATCATAGTGAAGCCTAATTTACATTACTAACTAAATAGTTAATGAGAAGTTAATATTTGGCTAATTATTTGTATTACTATAAGTTTGGCTTATAATTTAAAATTCGAGAAAGATTTGGCTAATAAATTGTATTTACTCAAGAATTTTCAATATAGACACACCCTATACTCACTTATGAAGCGAGAGCATAAAATATCTACAAGATCGAATTTTTTTAAAATATATAAATTAATTAATATATAGGTGGCTACTTCGGAGCACTCACTTTTTTGGGTGCACTGTAAAAGCATCCATAATACATCAAATTTTGAACTTTAATTAGTACTCTCAATCTAATATGATGATATAACTTAGAATCATAACAAATCAATCCATTACCCTAACCCCTTAACCTTCAATTTTGAATCCCAACCCAAAACCAACTTGTAAACCTAAACCCTAACCTTAAATCTCTAAATCCTTCGAATTAAAGTAAATTTTGAATGATTTTTTTCCAAATTCATGTGCTTCTTGTTCATAATATCATAGGCAACAATTGATACCGTTTTAACATAAATCGCATGGTCAGAATGACAATTATGAGGCGGGTGCACCGAATACGCCACCTTAATATATATAATATAATGAAATTCCCCCACCGTGTAAAAAAACTAGGATACATGTATAGATTACATAGTTGTATTTAAGTTCATAACAAGTCCAGTTTAACCTACACACATATGGTCCACTTAACATGTAAACTAGTTAAAATCTCGTTTAACAAGCACATCTGGAATACTGTCCCAGAACATTAGAGAGTGAATTCCAATTCCATCATGCGAGAGAAAGACAATGAGGCGAGCTCAGAGGTGCTTCCAGACGAATGTAATCGTACATGATCCCTTGGAAGGGGCCCTCAAATGGGGCAGTAGCAGGAGACTTGGTTTGCGTCTGAGTGAAGTAGAATATGTTCTCTCCTTTCGAAAGTAGAGCAGCTGGGACCAGAACCTCGTACAGCCTATACAGCCCGTGGATTCCGTGTCTTCCTATCGTGTTGTCGTGCCCAATCACTCCCGTCGAGAGCAATGGAGAGCTACTCATATCTTGGTTGTTGATTCTAACCTTAAACATCACGATGAACCCAATGTCACACATTTTCTTAACCATGATTGTCTGCTCTGAACAAAGCAGCATAAACAGGATAAGTGAGATGTAGTACCTGCAGTTCTGCAACATGTGCAGTGGCAACAGCGACTCGAAGCATATAGTCTCCCACATTGCTACTGCTCGTATTGCCAACGCTGTCGACGTAGAATTTGATCTGCCACGTGGTCGGTACATATTCGCCTACCTTCGTTCTTCTGAAAATCGTTACATACAAGGACTCATTAATAATTGTGTTAGTTTCATTGTTATCTGGTAACTTTGGAGCATAAGAAGCTGCTGCTTTGGGAGGAACCTGGGAATATGGGCATAGAACCAATCTTTGGCCCAATCACTCTTCCCAACAGTATAAACCACATCCTTATCTGGGTACAATTCTGTATATCTATCCCACAACCCGTATTGTCTGAACCTGCAGAGTAAACAGAGAATTTGAATAATGGACATTCTTACAGATTTACTATTGTGTAATGGCAGAGGATTAATTATTTGACCTGTCAGGATGGTTCACATAAAGCTTGTTGATATACTTGGGATCAACATCAGGAACATAGAATCCGGATGCAGTTCTATCAGGGTAACCGATTTCCCACAGCGTCGGTCCATGTCTCGGAGGTTCGTACACAACATCCCCCATGTCCATACTACTTCCTGAGTTCTCGTCGTAAAACATAATTAAAGATCACAATCAAATCCAGTCTAAGACGACGTCACATTTTCAGTTTCGTGAATGAAAAGTAAGGGTAGGAGTGGCACCTGGTGCTATGGTGACAGAAGAACCAAATTTGTAATCACCGAGAAAACCAGGGATATAGGCGTAGAGATTGTACTCCCCGGGCCGAACGTTGGCGATCGAGAAGAAACCTTGCTCATCTGCTTGTGTCCAGAACTGGTATCCCTGTGAGTGACCCAAATGCAGTGTGGTATTGAGTTGCAAAACAAATGTACTATGGTTTAAGGGAACTTTGGGGAGATCAGATTCACCTTGCCGTCAATCTGCCAAGATCCAACCTCTCCTGGTGGTGCCAATCCTACATACCCGCCATTTCCAGGAATGCTAGTTTCACTGACACACCTAGAAGTTTGCAACATTTTCAATTGCTTAGAAATTCTGCAATACATGATACAACCCTTTTGCAAGTGTTTTTGTTATTTGTTTCAGGAAATGAAAAAATGGAACTTCCAGACCAGTCATGGACTAAGAATCTCCCGCTGATGCGGCCACGTTGTTCCGCTTTAGGAAAATCCTCTGAAGCAGGGAAGCTGTAAGGCCAGCTCTGAACTTCAACCGCCATCTGAATTTTTTTTAATTCCAGAGGCCCTTTTGTTTGTCAGAAACAACTCCTGCAATTGTTACAAACATGAAAAGTCCTTCATTTTTTTCAAACCTGCCGCTTAGCATCCTCCCACAGCGAAAGTGGGTCGCCTCCATCGGTAGTAGTGTTTAGGTACATAAACACAGGACCAAGTACTTTCTTCCAGGGCTCCCCTGGTTTGAGTTTCAGGACCATTTCATCACCAGCATAGTGAGCACTCAGAAACATCTGCAAAAGTGTTACAAAAAATGCCCATCAGGATATTTTCGTTGTTGGTTCTAAAAGTGACAATTGACCTTGAGTTCTGAAAGTTCACTTTACAGCAAGATTGATTGGGCCAACATGAGAAGTGAGGTTCTGTTTCACCAATCCACCAGTTCTGAACTCATTGCTAGGAGTGATCTGCCAGAATCCCACTGCGGGATCGGAGCAAATCCAGCCATGGACTTTCAAATCTTTGTTTTCGCATGAGTATTGGTACTTGTCATCCACCTGAGCTAACAAATCCAGACTTCATCAGGATTGCAGATGTTAAGAGATAAAAAAAGCTGCTTTTTTTCCTGTAGAAAGTGTTGTACTTACCTCTCCTTTGAATTCTGGCTCAATTGGGTTCACAAGCAACACAGCTTCAGGATAAGCAAGTGGCTTGGATCTCTCTTCTGACCTGTCATCTGGCAGTGGCATGAATCTCTGCCTGCTATCACTCACAGCCATGAAATGGAACCTGTTGTCTCCATAAAAACAGGTCAACCGTTGCTCAACCATTTCATTAGCTGAAAGCTAAGGGAGACATGGGGTGGGAGCTACTTACTTGTCTTTGCTGAGCTTGAACACAATCCTGACCTGTGGGAGGTTGAAAGGGGTCCATTCAGCCAAGTGCTCGAATATCCCATACGAATAGAATCCAGACGAGTTTTTCAGCATTATGAACCTGGTAAAAAGGATCAAACTCTCAGTCTGTGACACAAACTGCAGACCTTTTTTTTAATACAGTTAATCAGTTGGTTAGCCATACCTCTTGTCAATGATGAGGGAAGGAAGCTGGCCTTCAAGGGAAGGATCCCATGTTCTTTTGAATGAGACTTCCACTTGTTCCTCATTTTCCACTATCACACTAAAGCTTGTCCCACTAATTCTGCACACAATTAGTAAGTGAAAATATTTCATAAGTCAACTATGACAACAACAGATGAAAAATTATTGTCTTCTTTTGCTCTATTCCATACATACCTTTCCTGACTCCCTTTTGTTCCTGTACTTCCTGTTTTGCTCCAAACAAGATCCCAGTACCTATACAAACCTCAAAATTCAAAGCAAGCCCATTACACCTCACTGATCTAAACGATAGAAAAACGAACACTTTTCTCTAAATTTTAGTTGCAAATTGACTTACCCTCTATCAATCTCATTATTCCTGTATTCAAGCAAATTAGTGACACCATTGTACTGAATCCCAGTCACCATCCCTTGTGGCTTTGATATAGTGAGTTTGAGCATCCCATTGTCCAGCACCACCTGTTTCATTGGACAGCATCAGGAGAATGAATATCAGAGTAGATATGAACTCGATGGGATGCTGCACGAATTGGAGGGAGTTTTTCCCCCTTACATGATCGGATTCTATCTGCAATTTCACTCCCTGCTGGCTTGACATGGCATGAACGTGAAAATCCCCTCGAGCTTCTATCTGCAGTTTTACTCCCTATTTCTGAAAGGCGTAGTAGAGAACAGTTTGCACAGGCTAAAAAGGGTGCAAGAATTAGTTCCAGTTAAAGATGGGTTTTATGGGACAGTGGGAAAAATGGAACTAAAAGTGGTGGTGATGGAGTAAAGGGTGAGGACTGCTCTTTTTTGTGCTACTTGTGGGGTTGTTGCAGATGCTTTACTCAGCCATTAACTTGTAGTAGAGTATCGTGTAATATGAAGCAATGTATTGTATTGAGGGATAATCGGCCATTTCTGTCAAGGAAGGTGATGGAGCCACGGTCTGTGTAGTGTGTATGGAAGCAACCGGCGGCACAGTTGTTGTCCACCATTGTCCAAACTTGAAGCCAACCAAACCAATTAGTTTGATTCTTTCTTACAGAAGTCCGTGACCAAATCTGGCAAACTTAACCAAGTGGGAAAAGTAGAAAAAAAGTTTCGGTGGATTGGCCACGGTTTTCTCCAACCGAGGCTACATCAGGTCATTATCTTCTTATCCTTTTGTAATAACCATGGTCCATGAAATCATACCGGGTATCGTACCGGAAAAGTCAATGATATGATATTTTATGATAAAACCGTGGTTTTATTGTAGTTGAATCGTTAGATCGTTAAATACCGCCTACCGATTTAGCCTTCGATACTGGTATTTCGTGGTTGAACCGTCGGTACGGTACGATTTCATGGATCATGGTAATAACTAGTTAAATGGCCCGCGCTCTACTGCGGGATCATGTTTTTTCGTATAATAGATTATACAATTCTAAATTTTTATTGTTGGCTAATTGAAAATCTAATGAGTTTGACAAAAGAAAATTCCAACAACTTTTTATATGATATATTGTTAAATTCTAAACTTTTATAGTCGGCCAATTGAAAGTCCACAAAACTTGACTATTGAAAATTACAACAATCGTATTTTCGTATCATAAACAACAAATTATTTAATTATTGAGAAAGCCCGACCACTGGTCGGGTTTATTTGGTCCATTAACATAAACAACAATTACAATCGGACAAAGTATGAAACAATTTTAGTATCATAAAATAATCCAAATTATTTAATTATTGAGAAAAATAATAAGAATTATACATAATAAAGTTATCCAACGTCCTAACCTATTTATCGACTAAACTAAACAACATATGGATACCCACTAATAACATCAACGAAACATCTATCTGTCATCATATAGTTTCTTCCTTCTTATCAACAATATCATTATCTTACTCTGGTAATGATTAATTAGTGACTATTTTGAATATGGATTTATTTAAAGTGGTATCTGTGAGATTAATTGTGTGGATGCATTGTTTGATCATTTTAAGTGGCTTCCAAGTCGGTGTTTGAATAGTATTAGAGGTGGCAAATGGATTGGATTGGTGGATTGGATTGGTGGATCCATGGATCAAATGGATTGGATCAAATGGATTGGTGGATTCATGGATTGGATCAAGTGGATTGGTGGATTATCCATGAATCCAAATGACATCCTCAACCAAGGACCAATATGTAAAATGTAAAAAGTTTAGGTACTAAAATATCATAATGAAAAATTTTAGGTACCAAAACGTAATTTTCCAATGATATTTTTTGTATAAAAATTAAATTTTAGGTACCAAAATGTAAAAAATAAAAATTATAGGTACTAAATCGTAATTTTCCAATGATCCATGGATCCAATCCATGAATCCACCAATCCAATTGGATTTGGATAAAATGGATTAGATTAGTTGGATATTTTTAATGGATTGATGAATTGGATTGGTGGATTGGATTGAAATTGCCACCTCTAAATAGTATTAGACTTTTTGTGTTTTCCTATATATTTGTATACTATTCATTCACTTGCATTATTAAAGAAGAAACAGAAGATTTACCATCTCATTGTTCTTCCTTTGTAATCCTTTCAATTTTGTTCTCTCTAAATCGTAATTTAATTCTACATCCCCTGAATTTCTATCAATTATCTTCTAGCCCCCCTCTTAAATCCTGTAATCTCAATCCAGTCTCAATTCTTCCTTGTCCAATAATTTATTGATTTTCATTATTTTGCCTAATTCTCTTCTAATCCAGCCCCAATTGTACAACCATTTCATAGCGCTAAAAAAACCTACCAATTTAAACTCGATAGAAGATTTTTTCGGTCGGACCGTCAATACTGTACGATTTTTTTATGCTTGCTTTTTTATTATGGTTACCAATAAAAAGTTTGAATCATTATTATTAGAAATCTTTAAATGTTGGAATAAAAATGGTGGAATGGAGAAGACAATGGGCTTTGCTTGATGGAAATTGTCGGTTGTAAGGTTGAAACTCTCACTTGGCCAATCCAACAAAAAATTACAGTAAAGAGCTAGGAAATAAATTAGAGCTGACAGCAGGAAATCCATTTCCTAATGAACAGTGTAATCTAATTATGGCAAACCCTATTAGTTCGTAAGGAACAGTGCTTTAAACTTGTGAATTAATAATTCTAATAATTTTCATTATTTTGCCTAATTCTCTTCTAATCCAGCCCCAATTCTTCCTCATCTGGTACATTATTGTTCCTAATTCTCCTCTTATCATATTTTTATATTAATCAATCTCAGATTCTAAGATCCTCTCTCTCTCATCAATTGATATTATAGCCTAGTTACCCTTGCACCCAACACCATCATCTATGTCATTCTAGCCGCCACATTGATGGTTTTCAACAACTTTGTCAAAATTTACTTGAAAGCTTTGTAGGATATCTCGGTGTGAAAGAAGTAGCAAGTATGAGCTTCGATCAATAAGGATAATAAAACTACTTTTTGGTTGATGGCAACGTGAATTGCGAATTTTACATTTATATTTTTTAGTGAGAGCGTTTCTTTTTGTCGTTGTTAGTTCATTGTGGCAGCTGGAGTTAATTGGAAGTGAAAGAGTGGTCAAGTCTTGAACTGAAAGTATAGAAAGAAGTTCATACAAATTCAGGTTGATTCTTTAGGAAAAAATCTTTCAAAGGGGATGGATTGATGAATGAATAGTTAGCTATTATTATTCTTGATGTTATGAATATTTTTCTATATTTTCTCGTATTTTTAGCCATCCAAGCATTCTTGCTCAAAATCCTAATTTTTTATTACGTCTCCCTGCATTTCTAATTCTCTTACTCTCCATCAATCTAGGTTCTTTCTTGTCCTATAGTTTATTTATCTCATTAATTTTGGCCATTTATCTTTCTACCAATGATCAATCTCGGTGCCAAGATTCTCTCTTCATCAAATCCACTACCTCTACCATTAGCATACTCTTTCTTCTTCTTTTTCATTTTATTTAAAGCAAAATTTTAATGGTAAAACGTTTGCAAATATTATTTTGGTGCAAGTAAAATTTACCCATATGTACAAAATTGTGTACTCTCTTATAGTGTCCACGATGTGGCGAGCATGGTGTTGAACTTCAACTCCATTGCCTCAATTTTTTGGAGATAAGAAGGTGGAAGTCCTCTCATTTTGTCACTAATTTGTAACCGTTTTCCAGCCAGACATTCCACTTCCATAGTTTGTAGATTTTCCAACATCAAGGTGAGTGTAGATGAAAACAATGTCTTCTCATATGCAAAATTGATGATCCAGTAATTAACCAAGTGTGCGAACGACATTTAACTGGTATCTATCATGCCTAATAATCTTCACAATTTTGTAATTGGTAGTATTTTAAGTGCGTCCTAGATACACATGAGGTATTTTCAAAGTCAATTTGATATTTTATTTTTACATTCATGAACAAATAATAACTATATTCATAAAATAAAATGTTTCCAATATTTAATTGAGAAATCCTGTCCAAAAAATCTACTAATGGTTAGAACTTTAAGAAATTGTATGTAACTAAAAGGGATAATACCTTATTTTGGCATGAACTTCAACATAAAAGACACTTTCGTTCGAATATGGAAGGGTTAATATATTTGTGTGGCCCGAACTTTTCACATATTAAACATCCTTTCCAATCTTTTCGATTTATAACTTCGTGGACTCAACTATGCATCAAAGTTAAAAAAATTGGCCAAACCGAGATTTGGTTGTTATCTTAGACGGTCAAACGCGTTGACTAATGGTCAACGCGTCGCGTCATTGCCAAGTTAGCATAGACCACTTAAAATTTTGGGTTTTTCCACCTATTAACATTTATCTTTATTATTTTGAACAAAAGAAGAAGGAAAAAAAATGTTGGGTCCCCTATTTTAGAGAGATATAGGTGGGAAAGATAAAAATTTTAAGTGGTTTGTGATGGCGTGGCGCGTTGACCCTTAGTCAACGCATTTGACCATCTAAGATAACGGTCAAATCTCGAGTTTGGCCAATTTCGTAACTTTGATGCATAGTTGAGGCCACGAAGTTATCGATCAAAAAGATTGGCCAGGATGTTTAATATGTAAAAACTTCGGGCCATACAAATATATTAACCCACTTTGGAAAGAGATGGACAAATTTGACCCAAAATTTAGGTTGACCGTCAATATTGAAGGTCAAACATTTCTTTTGTCTATGACTATCATATTATGAAAAGGTGGTTGCGACATGGCTTCCACATCATTTATTTTGAGATAAATTTGTTCATTTCTTTCAAAATTCAGACAAAAAACTATCTTATTTGAAAATTCTTGCCAGAATTTTTTTGTGCATCAAAGTTGAAGCCAAAATAGGGTATTCTCCCCTTTAAAAAAATAAATTATACGAAAGACACTTCGCACACCTCATAATTGAATGTTGAGTTACATTTTATAACTGACCAAATTTGTATGTTTCTTTCAAATTTTGAGAAAAAATGTTGTATTTGAAAGTTCAGACTAAAATTGTCTTTTATGTCAAAATTCATGTCAAAATAAGATGTTATCTCTAACTATAACTAATAGTTACCGTGACATGGGTTTTGGAAATTGGATTATAGATTAATAGTTGATCTTTGCTTAAAAAACGGTTATGATTTTAATTTATGGATTTCCATTTCCTTTTAGTCTGCTTGAATAAGAAGTGGGCCAATAACAAATTAAGGCCAAACCTATTGTAGAACTCAAGTATAACGTCAAAGCAGGACATAAAAATGGTTGTCCCAAAAGGCTAAAGAGCCCCTCCTTAAGTTGCGCAGAAGCTAGCATTTTTCCAATTCCATATGTTCTAACCCGGAATGTGCATATAGTATTGGGAGGATTACAATCGTATTTTCGTA